ATGGCCAGGAGCAGATCACCAATTGCTCAGATGCAAGCTCAAGTCGGACCTGAAGAAATTGAAACAAGCCCTGAGAGCCGAGATATGACCTGGAGTATATCCCAGCTGAATTTAGACCCTATTCAGGAAGAGATCTGATGCCTTGAACAGTAATGACTGAAGACCAGAGGAGTTGTAGGATGACATGAAGGACATCACACATGAAGAAAGAAAAAGGTCATTAAGAAGACAGGAAAGAAAGAAAAGACCAAAATAAATGTAAGAAAATCTGCGTTGACTAGCTAAAGTGAACAAAAGAAATTAAGTAAAAGAGCTGAGCAAATGATCTCAAAGGGTGACTTGAGAAAAAAAAGTATTAGAATGAAATGTGCAAAAATTAGAGTTAGAAAACCAAAAGGGAAGAACACGCTTGCCGCTTGGCATTTCTCAAGCTGAAGGAACTAAAGAAAAAATTCAAGCCTAGAGTTACAATACTGAAGGGGGCAATGAACAAAATATTGAACAATGCAGGAAAAATCAAAGAAGATGGAAAGAATACACAGTCACTCACTGTACCAAAAAGAACTGGCCGATATGCCACCATTTCAGGAGGAAGCTTATGATCCAGCATCAATGATACTCAAGGAAGGAGACCAAGCTGCACTGAAGGAGTTAGGGAGAAACAAGGCTCCAGGAACTGGCGGGATACCTACTGAGATGTTTCAACAAACAGACGCAATGCTAGAAGCGCTCACTGGTCTACACCAAGAATCTGAAAGACAGTTACCTGGCCAACCAACTGGAAGAGATATGTATTTGTGCTATTCCAAAGAAAGGTGATCCAACCAAATGTGCAAATTATCAAACCACATCATTAATATCATACTCAAGTAAAATTTTCCTGAAGATAATTTAAGAATGGTTGCAACAGGACATTGGCAGGGAACTGCCAGAAATTCACTCTGGATTCAGAAGAGGATGTGGAATGAGGGATATCACTGCCATGGCAGATGGATCTTGGCTGAAAGCAGAGAATACCAGAAAGATGTTCACCCATGCTTTATTGACTACGCAAAGGCATTCAGCTGGGTGGACCCTAAAAACTATAGATAATGTTGTGAAGAATGGAAAACCCAGAACACTTATTGTGTTCGTGAGGAACCTCTATAAGTAGACCAAGAGGTAATCCTTCAAACAGAACAAGGGACACTGCATGGTTTAAAATCAGGAAAGATGTGTGTCAGGGTTGTAATCTTTCACCATACTTATTCAATCTGTATGCTGAGCAAATAATCCTACAGGGTGGATTGTATGAAGCAGAATGTCATATCAGGATTAGAAGAACCCTATGATACCCTGACGACCTAACTTTGCTTGCTGAAAGTGGGGATGACTTGAAACACTTACTGATGAGGATTAAAGAACACAGTGTGCAGTACAGATTACACCTAAATATAAAGAAAACCAAAATCCTCACAACTGGACCAATAAGCAGCATCACGATAAATGGAGAAAAGATTGAAGTTGTCGAAGATTTCACATTACTTGGTTCTATAATCAACACCAATGGAAGCAGCAGTTAAGATACCAGATGACGTATGTTGTTGTTGTTGTTATGTGCCATCGAGTCAACTCCGACTCATAGCGACCCCTCCTTGGGTTTCCGAGACGGTATCACTATGGAAGTAGATTGCCCAACCTTCCTTCCAAGGAGTGGCTAGTGGGTTTGAACCTCCAGCCTTCTGGTTAGCAGTCAAGTGCCTTAGGCACTATGCTACCAGAGCTCCCAGATGACATATAGCACTGGGCAAATCTGCCCCAAAAGACCTCTTTTCAGGGGGATCTCTTAGGAGATCCTGGATAGAGTAGGAGAATAATGTGCAACAAAACTCAAAATAATTGAAAAAAAAAAAAGGGGGACCAGGTTTGCTGGTCTGATAGAGCCTAATGGAACCACTGGGACTGTGGCCCAGAGCTGCCCTTCAGGTCTGGAATTGAACCCACTCGTGTGGCTTCCAGCCAAAAAAAGACAGGCATATGAGTTGAACATTTACATTAGGTAGACATTCCTTTGAGGAATCAATCATAGGAGAATAGAAGGGCTGTGTATGCACAGGGAGACAGCTCGGGGGCAGTAGTGGATGGAGGGATGGGCACAGGGAAGAGGTAACTATGGGGAGGAAGTGGGAGAGGAGCTGTTGCATTGTGGCAAATTGTAGTCAATGCCATGAGACAAAGTGAATGTGGGCTGCTAAATAGAAAGTGAATTTGCTCGTAAACTTTCACCCAAATCACAATTTAAAAAAAAAAAAAAAAAAACCTCTTTCAAGTGCTGAAGAGCAGAGATGTCTCCTTGAGGACTAAGGTGTGCCTGACTCAAGCCATGGTATTTTCAATCACATGCATGTGAGAGATGGACAATTAATAAGTAAGACCAAAGAAGAGTTGATGCTTTTGAGTTGTAGTGCTGGTGGAGAATTCTGAAAATACCATGCACTAAAAGGGCTAACAAAACTGTCCTGGAGGAAGTGCGGCTGGAATGCTCCTTGGAAGCGAGGATGACCAGACTTTGTCTCACCTACTTTGGTCATGTTGTCAGAAGGGACCATTCCCAGCAGAAGGGTGTCATGCTTGGTAAAGAGGAGGATCAACAAAAGAGGGGAAGGCCCTCAATGAGATGGATGGACACAGTGACTGCAATGATGGGCTCAGGTACAGCCAGGATTGTGAGGCTGGCACAGGACCAGGCAATGTTTCGTTCTGCTGTACAAAGGGTTGCTATGAGTCAGAGACAACTTGACAGCACCAAATAACAACGACACATACACGTGAAAGTTGGATGATGAATAAGGAAGACCAAAGAAGAGTTGATGGAAGAATATAGAATATACCATGGATTGCCAGAGAATGAACACATATGCCTTGGAGGACTCAGTACCTTGGACAGGTTATCAGGAGGGACCAGTCATTGGAGAAAGACATCATGCGTGGGAAAGTAGAGAGTCACTCAAAAAGGGGAGGACCTCTGACAAGGGCTGGCACCGGAGCTACGCCATTGGGCTCAAGCACAGCAACGACTCCGAAGATGGCACCTTCTGCTGGACACGTGGCCACTGGGTCAAAACCCACCCGCCAACACCTGACATTAACACACGCATCACTCGCCACTGCCATGGAGTCGGTTCCGACTCACAGCAACGCTAGAGGACAGAGAGGAACTGCCCACAGGGTTTCCAAGGTTGTCCATCTTCGTGGAAGCAAAGCCCAGACCACACCCACTGCTGTGGAGTCCATTCTGACTCACAACGCCCCTAGAGGACAGAGTGGAACTGCCCACAGGGTCTCCAAGGCTGTCAATCTTCACAGAAGCAAAGCCCAAACCACACCCACTGCC